CGTTATTTTCTAATTTTTTTTTTTTGTACTATGTGGGAAACCGTTCTTGCACGTGATTTGAGCTACCTCCCTGGCTGGGTGTGAGACGCTTTGACAAGCTGTGTCAGAGCCTTCCCCACCCTTCCCCAGGTGCGAGGGCTTGTCCGTGTGGGGGTGTGACTGACTACTGACCTGAAAATCAGTCACTGACCCTGACCTTGGAATGCTGCCCCCCTCGACCTTCATTGAATGGAATTTTCCCCTGAATTTTTTGTTCCCCAATAAAAGCTCACTCCCTGGCGTGTTTCACTCTCTCTTGCTGGCCTCTTGTGTAAACCTCACTAYCGCATCAGGTGGCTAGAGGCAAGAGCTGGGAGAAGCCCTCTCTGAGCTGGGCAAACAAAAGGTAAATTGAGAGTCATGTGTCTTTAATTTGAACTCATTAGTTAATTYCTATGACCTCTAGTATGAAGTTAGCGTGCTAGTCGAATGGCTGAGTWCTAGGAATTGAACTAGGGGTCTTAACCACTGAGCCACATCTCAGCCCTTTTTATTTTTTATTTTGGACATGATCTCACTAAGTTGCTTAGGACCTTGTTAAGTTGCTGAGGTAGGCTTTGAACTTGTGATCCTCCTGTCTCAGGCTCCTAAATCATAGGGATTACAGGTGTGAGCCACCGTGCCCAGCTATATTTTCTAWATTTGGGAAGAGTTGGCAGGTATTATGATGATATGATGTGCTCAAATAGCTCCTTAGAGTCTTTAAAAAACAATATTTGCACATCTATGTAAAAGGAACTGTAACAATTTCAATGAGAAGCAGCCCAGGCATAACTGTTAAAAGCATCTAAATTCAAGCCAGTCCTCAGGAACCCTTTTGTTTGAGCATAACAAGGTGGAKACAATGACTTTTTAATCATTATTTATTTTATGAAATTTGGATTTTKGGAATGTGTTTTTCAAGAAGAAAAAGGATAAGTTTCAAATTCAACTATTTTGGATGTTGACTACTTTGGACTTTAACTTTAGTGCAGTGACTTTAATTTCTCCCTGAAAAATTGAGTAGAAGGAAGCACTTCTCTCAACTTTTGTATATTTTATATTGGATATTTTATTATTCCTTATTGCAGAAACCCTGTGTTGGATAATGAGGCTGAACATAATTTAGAATAGAAAAAAATAGGGACTGAATTGTTCTTAAAATAGAAAAATTTTGGTCCTTAGCAGGTATTCTCAGATGAAGAAACCAGTGAAGATATGAACTCCACTCTCACCCTGACCTTCTAGATTTTTGTAAGCTGAATTTCCAGAACCTCTGAGTGAAGCCTCATGTCCGAAAGTCTTTTTTCTTTTTTTTTTTTTAAGAGAGAGAGAGAGAGAATTTCCCAACATTCAGTTTTCAGTCTTTGGTGGACACAACATCTTCATTTTTTATTTTATGTGGTGCTGAGGATCAAATCCAGCACCCCGCACGTGCCAGGCGAGTGCGCCACCACTTGAGTCACATCCCCAGCTCCAGAAAGTCTTAACTAATTGCTTCAGTTATGTATATCATCCCCCCTTATTTCCAATTACCATTGTTATTCCTAGATTTCCTGGATTTAAGCTGGCTCTGGAAATTCCCAAACATAGCAAATCCTATTTTCTAAGCCCTGTAAATGTTAGGCAACCTTGTGATATATGAGAATATGAACCCACTGTGGGGAAA